CATCCTGTCCAACACACAAAGGTATTTACCATGGCTGCTTTACCCTAAAGCTGTAATGTGTTTGCTCAGTTTCACATTGTGTACATGTCCCTCCTCAACATCTCCATTCCAAAATAAAAGCCAAACAGTTGGTTTTTTTTTTTTTTGGTATGTGCCCCTAGTGGGAACTGAACCCAGGACTCTCTGGTTCATAGGTCTATGCTCCAACCGCTGAGCCAAACCAGCCAGGGCCCAAACAGTTGTTAAAGGTCAGGGTATATCTCTCCCACTGACATCAGTTCCTACCCTGAAATGGGAGAGGGAGGGGGATCTTCTGGTTAGGAGCAAGTTAGTGAAAAGGGTGGGGTGACTAGAGTTGGAGGAATGGTCTGCAGAAGACATAGGTCAGGAGGACATAGAAGGCACAGATGAAGTTGGTACTCTCTGTGTCAGATAAGTTACGGAGAATTCTCACCAATTTAAAATATATCAGTGTGTTAAAATTTAAAATAAAAACATAAGTAATCCAAATAATCAGCAATTCAAACACTACTAAATTTCACATTTTCCCCACTAAGACAGCTCATATATAGCAGTAACAATGTAGATCTTCCCAGGAAGTGGAGGTAGAGCCCCTGTATTCTTCCTGACAACCTTGTTTGGACCCTAAAAGGACCCTAAGATGCCACAGTTACTGCATTTGCAGCTGTTCAGCCTGGAAGACACCAGGAAGAGCCAGGGGCATAAAGGAAGTGGCTTCAACCCTTAGGGCTGCTCTGGACAAGCTGTACATTTTTTTGAGCCACAAAGACGGAGAGGTCAAAAGTGGCCCTGGCCTTGAATCTGGTTTCTTAGGGAACATTTCTCTCAGACTCCATGGTCTATCCTACAGGGTTTCATCTAGTTCCTGTTATCCTCTTCCAGCTCCTCCTCAGTTTTCTGTCACCTTTTCAGAGTAGTTCCTTCCCAGAACCAGGGCAGTGCAGTAGTGCCTGTGGTTGTCAGGGACCCCAGCCACAGGTGCCTTCTTTCTTTTTCTTTCTTTCTTTCTTCCTTTCTTTCCCTTCCTTCCTTCCTTCCTTCCTTCCTTCCTTCCTTCCTTCCTTCCTTCCTTCCTTCCTTCCTTCCTTCCTTCCTTCCTTCCTTTCCTTCCTTCCTTCCTTTCTTTCTTTCTTTCTTTTAATGTTTTTATTGATTTTTTAGAGAGAGGGGAAAGGAGAGAGATAGAAGCCTCCATATGAGAGAGAAATTTTGATTGGCTGCCTCCTGTATGCTCCCTATTGGGGATCGAGTCCACAACCCTGACTGGTGGGAGCTGAATGGGGACCTCAGTCCATGGGATGACGCTCAATCCACTGAGCCACACTGGCTGGGCCACAGGTGCCTTCTTTTATGAGAGAATTATTTCTTCTAATACACACTTAGGCGTTCATTTCTAAAAGGAAAGTCTTTACTTCTAGCACATATAAAAACTAAAGCACTTATACAAGAGATGTGATTTTAAAAAATTATCTGTAAAAAGTGCTTTCGCTTTTGTTCTTCTTTGGCTTTTACCTATTATTATTTTTTTATCCTCACCCGAGGACATTTTTGGATATTTTGTTCAGATAGAGTGGGAGGGAGAGAGACAGAGAGAGAGAAACATCAACGTGAAAGGAACACATCGAGTAGTTGCCACCTGCACAACCCAACCAGGGCCGGGGACAAACTGCAACTGAGGTAAAGGCCCTTAGAGAGAACCAAACCTGGGTCTCTTGGGACCACAGGCCGATGTTCTAACCATTGAGCCAAATTGGCCAGGGCCTTATTATTTTTATTTGCAAGCCTTATTCCTTTGTAGCAATTTGGGCTTTAGAGTCCAACTTAGGGCCTTAATTCTTTATTTCAAATTTCTCTTGAGAAGTTGTTATTTCACTTTCTGCTGATTACATACCTCCTGGTTTCAAGAGGAAACTGGCTGGTGGCTTCTCGAATGATTCCTTTAGCCTTTCCTATTCCTATTCTCATGTCAAACCAAAAAGAGAAATCCAATACCAGTAACTTGCTGACACTTACATCAGGTATTATATCTCTTACCTTGTAAGAATCTTATACTTTAGAAGGGAACACAAGACATGTAGAAATAATAATATACTTGGCATATACTGAGCTTCCAGTAGGTATTTATTGAATGAATAAATGAGATCTCACAAGAGATCTCACAATAACTACCCTTCTTTCAGAAACCCAGAGAGATCTAGAGGTTTCCATAGGTAGTGGCTTTTGATACTAAAGTCCTCATTTCATGTTGGTTGACCACTTTGAGCCGTGGAATTACAGGTTTTCCCTGTTACCCCAAAGTAGAGTGTTCCTATGAAAACTTGCATAAGATAAAATGGTATAAAGTGAAAAATTAATCTATGTGGAAAAATTTGAGTGTTCCCAGACTCCCAAAATAACCAAATCATATCAAATAACACATAAAACTGAAAATAATTTTACCACAGGCTAACTGATATAAGCAAAAGTTCCTACCACATCTCATCAATAGTTTGTCAATGAAACAAATGTCCAAAGGTGTAGAGAACTTTTATGAGTTTATTTGAGCCCAGCTGATGACAACTGCTGGGAAGCAAAATCCAGCAGATTGAGAAAATGCTCTGGAGAATGGCAGGTTTGCAGCTTATTTTATACACTAGAATCAAAGAGGTGGCATAAGAAGGGTTTACATGAAATCCATTGTAGTTGGATTGAGGGGAGGGAGAAAGCAGAGTGGGGAAATCTCTGGGATAGGCTAAAAAGTTAAATGGAGAGACACATACTTCTTTTACATTGGTGGGTACATGATAGTTAATTACCATTTACAGCATATCAAGATGGTATTCAGCAAACAGATAACAATGAGGGGTTCTGTGATCTCTTGATCTGGTGCAGTGGATGTGCTCCAAAAGGTCTGGAAAAGGAGAAAGGCATGACATTTCAAAGACATGGTTATCTTAGATGCACGACAGTAAACAGGCTTGCTTAAGGTAAAGATTGACCTTTGTCAAGGAAGCTACAGGCCTAGTATGTGACTACTGCCATGATTTGCTTTTAGTTAGGATTTTTTTTTTTCATCCCACAAGAAGTCATAACTTTATTAATGAAACAGTACAAATTTCAACCAAGCTGCAGTAACTCTCTCGAAACACCAAAAAAAAAACAAAAACAAAAAAAAGAGGTTGTACTTTTTAGATGGTTACATTGTTAATTACATAATAGCATTTTCAATATCATTACTATTGTTCTTCAGGGCTCGGACTGCCTTTGCTCTTGACACATTTGCTTGTGACATGACCAATTCTATGTCCTTAACTTCCACACCTGTTTCATCAACCTCTTCTTCACTCTCCTCTTGTTTAGTTGGAGTCTGTGTATTTTCTTGAATGTTTGAGACAGCTTCACCTTGAATTTCGAATTTCTCAGCAGCTGCTAGCTGTGCTTGCTGAGATAAATCCTTGATCTTGGCTTCCCCCAAAACTATGTAGTTATCTGAAGCTGAGCTCTTGTAGACATCTGGTTTTGTGATGACAAAGAGCATGTTCTTAGATTTCCAGATAGCGACCCTAGTAACCCCTGTAACCTGTCGAGGACCCTGTTTGGACATAGCCTTCCGTGGCTTCTTTTCACTCTGGCTCTGTTTTGCTTTACTGACTGGTTTTTCATCGACTTCGGTTGCTGCCTCCAGCTGGGCTTGTTGTGTGGTTGCTTGTGTGCGTCTTGTTCCTCGGGCGCTGGTTCTGATTCATCACTGTCAGACTCTGTTCCAGAGCCTGTCTCAGCCTGGGGCTGTGGCAACTCGCTCTGCAGCAGGGACGGTTTCCGTGGCTTCACCGGGTATTTTGCGCAGTGAACGCGGAACCAAGATGGCGGCAGAATGAGCTAGTTAGCGATTTTAACGTTCAACTACGTGGTTCCTTTCAGTCTCGGCTTGTGGGGCTTGACAACCCCCCCTGAGCTTGTCAAGGTTAGTGTGTGACCCCTTTTTTTGTCCATTTATAAGGAAGCACAAAGAAAGAAACCGTTATTTGAGGAACTGCTATACTAATATATTTCTTTCCTAAAAGCAAGTGTACTAATTTGAACTTTTGAAAAGCAGGGGATACCTGTAATAATCCTGGGTTAGGTCATCTGAACTTTGATTTTATTGCTATTACTAAATTTTATTATTAGATTGACACACTAGCCATCCATCTAGTTTTCTTTCTACAACTGGCTCCAGTTATGTAAACACACTTCTTTCAAACGCATTTAAGGACCACCAGACTCAAAGAACAGTGCCTGGATCTGGTCGGGAGACATTAGCGATCACCTTTCGGAGCACTGCCAGAGTCGCGTGGGGAGAGACGGTCCAAGGTTCACGCGCTGACGGGGGCTTGTCTCCAGCGCTCTTTCACGCCCCTTTACCGACTGCAAAAAGCGTCTCACCGGTTTCTCTGCCTCGTCGCGTTCAGTAAGCTCGTACTGCGTGCACCTGCCCCCGCCACCCCGGCCAATGCCAGAACTCGAAGCGGGGTAGGCACAGACCCTTTTACTTCTGCTCTTTCACGGCTTGAGGGAACAAAGCCCTTTTCCCTGAGATACTGCTGAACTAGTTCGCACGCAATTACTCTACCCTCAAGATAAAAAGGGTAGCCAAGACCCCCACGCAGTTTGGACCCACCCTTAAACCGGAGCCAGGGGCAAAGCCCCTTGGGAAGTTGACCTTTCACCTCCTCTCTCTCCTCACCTCAGCTCACCCAATTTTGACGTTAGCGAATGAAGCGACAGAGAGACCTGGTAGGCGGGACTTGGTGTTGCTCTTTTCACGCTGATTGGACTGCGACGGCGTGAGGGTTGGTTTGCGTCAGCCGGCTAGCGTCCTTCCCTCGGTGGGCGGGGAGAAGTGAGGGCTGCGCTTGCGCAGTGGGAGGTGGCAGAGTGGCTGAGGGGGATACGCATGCGTGGTGGGCGGAGCTCGGCTCTTTTTACCAATATTAGCACCCTCGTTCTGCCCAGGCTAGGGCTGGTGTTTCCGCACCTCGTTGTGAAGGGTGGCTGCGGACTGGCTTCTCGGTGTTTGGGTCATCATGGCTGGTTACGAATACGTGAGCTCGGAGCAGCTGGCTGGCTTTGATAAATACAAGGTAGTGCGGGCCCCGCGGATGCCCCTGTTCCTCCTCGTCTCTTCCAGGTGGCTGAGGAGCTGGCACGGACCGTGTCACCTTGTGCCGCGTGGTTCAGGGCGGGCTGGCGGGCGTTTCTCCGGGGGTCCTGCCGAGTCCTGGGTCTTTGGAGTCGGGGTGCGTGGGAGCACCCTAGCCTCGCCTTCCCGACTTGGTACCCTCCCAGGGATCGCCCTTCCCTTCGGAGATCGCTCGACGAGAGTAGAGCGAGAGAATTCCCTTCGCTTCTTTACTTCATCATCATTATTATGTTTTAGCCCCCGAGAGGTGATATACAGTTCCTGTATGTAGTGTGTTGTCTTCGTTTTAATGAAGTTTCTGCCCGCTTCTCTTGTATTCAACTCCAGAGATGGAGATGATCATCTGGCAGATGAGGCCCGGGGAGAGGGAGTGACTACTGAGGCCATACTGCTGGTGCACCCCACTTCTCCCCGTGGAGAGGCCTCTGCAGCAGCTTGTGGCGCTGGGGCTGCCAGATGAAGTAAATGTACACAGGGAAGAAGTATGTAGTGGAAAGAGCGCGCGCGGGTTTTGGAATACATGTAAACCTGAAACCAAACCTGACACCAAATCCAATGTCTTCATTGGCTTTGGGCCAAATAATAGTGTCTACCGTGCAAAATGATTATAAGACGTTGAGAAGCTCCTTGCTTCTCATAATGGGCGTCCTGTAAATGCTTAAATTTCCCTCCACATCTGGTTCATCGTCATTGCTCTCATACCAGTGAATAATTCCTCTATCCATCTTTTTGTCCAAGTGTGAGATCTGTGTAGTGACTTTTCATCCTGATTCCTTTACCCCACCCGCCACATGCTGTATGTTCTATCATTTTTAGCTTAAACTAGAAGATTGGTTCCATTACCACACTCCTTAAGTAATGTTTTCATTTTGGAATAGTTTTAGAATATTTTATTACAGATTTTCTGAAAAATTGTGAACATAGTACAGAGTTCCCATATATAACACACCCAGTTTGCCACATCTTGTCACAATGCATAAACCAATATTGATACATTATTAACTGAAGTACATATTTTATTCAGATTTCCTTAGTTTTTAACTTAATGTTATTTTTCTGTTCCAGAATCTCATCCAGGATACCATATTACATTTAGTCATCATTTCTCCTTAGGATTCTCTTGGCTGTGACAATTTTTCACATTTTGTTTTCGAAAACCTTGATAGTTTTGAAGAGTTGTGGTCAGGTGTTTTGTAGACTGTTCCTCAGCTGGGATTTGCCTCATGTTTTTCTCATGATTAGATGAGGGTTATGGGTTTTGGGAAGAGGGCTACAGAGGTGAAGTATCCTTCTCATATCATATGAAGAGTACATGCTGTTGGCCTTGGCTTGGTAGCTCAGTTGGTTAGAGTATTGTACCAGTATGCCAAGGTTGTGGGTTCGATCCCTGGTCAGGGCACACATAAGAAAACTGATGAATGCATAAATATATAGAACAACAATCGATGTTTCTCTCTCATCCTTCCTCTCTCTCTCTCTCAAATCAATAAATAAAAAAAAAAAGCCCTGGCCCACCCATGTGGCCTAGTTGGTTGGGCATTGTCCTGTGCACCGAAGGGATGCCATTTCAATTTCCTGTCAGGGCACATGCCCAGGTTTTGGGCTCAATCCCTGGTGGAGGGTATGCAGGAGACAGCCAATTGATGTTTTGCTTTCACATCGGTGTTTCTCTCTTTCCCAATTCCTTTCTCTCTCCCTAAAAATCAATAAAAATATTAAGAAAAAAAAAAAGAGTACATACTGTCAACATGACTTATCACCATTGCTGTTGACTTTGATCACCTGGCTGAGGTAGTGTTTGTTAGGTTTCTTCTTGTAAAGTTACAGTCTGGAAGGAAGTTTCTGTGCACAACCCATACTTTTGGAATGGAGAGTTATGTTCTTCGACCTTGAGGGCAGAGTATAGACATAATTTATTTGGAGTTGTGCATGGAAGATTTATCTTTTCTTCTCAGTACATATTTATTTATTCAGTCATTTATATTAGTGTGAGTTCATGGATATTTATTTTATAGTTTAGGTTATAATCCAATACTTTATTTTGTTGCTCACCTACATTCATTTTTGCCCTTTAAGTCCTTTTTGTATGTTTCATAGTGATCTTAAAATATATATATATGGCCCAGCCAGTGTGGCTCAGTAGTTGAGTATCAACCCATGGACCAAGAGGTCCCTGGTTCGATTCCAGGTCAGGACACATACCTGGGTTGTGGGCTTGATCCTCAGTGTGTGTGTGGGGGGGGTACAGGATGCAGCCCATCAGTGTGTCTCTCTCATTAATGTTTCTGTCTGTCTCTCCCTCCCCTTTCCTCTTGCTCGAAAAATCAATAAAAGCATATATATATATATATATATATATATATATATATATATGCATGCTCCTGGTCACAGCACTTCTTTGCTTAAAAATCTCCACTGTCTTCCTGTTGTTCTTGGAATGAAGTCCAAAAATTTATAACATGATCTCCATGGTTCTGAATGATCTGGTCCTAGTCTATGTCCAGCTTAATGTCATGCCACTCACTGTCTGCTCCTCCCCCAGCTTTAGTAGCCATCTCTCCACCGTCTTTTTTCCAAATCTTCAATGTTATGTCTACCAGAAATGTAGGTAGCTTCCTTCCCCATTTACGTTCATCTTCGTATCTTAAATATTAATTCCTCAGAGAAGCATTCCATAACTTACTTTCACCTTAACTGTGCTCTCATAGTACCCTCTGCTTCTTTATGGAATTAGTTCTTTAATGTGTCTCCCCATTAGAATGTAATACCCAAGTGGTTAAACTAGTTTAAGGGCCACCCTGACCTAAGCATTGTGCCAACTGTGCTTACGAGGCACCCAATAAACATTTGTGGAATGAATGAATAACTGAAAAAGTCATAGTGCATTGTGTCTAACTGGAATTGGAAAAACTGTAAGGGACCTTAGAAGGTCACATGGTATATTCCTCTGCTTTCAAGCAATAATGTGCCATACCATTTTGAACTGAGGTGCTGCTGACTTGTCTTAAAATTTTAAGTGGAAAGAAGTTCCAGAGCCTTGGTAACCCAGGCCAGGGCTTACAACTTTCATTAAAGGAAGTTATTAACCCAGATAGCCTCCTTTTTTGCCTTAAGCTTTACTCCCTCTCTGTTATTTGTTTTGCACGGTAAATATTGAAATATAAAACATTTTGTTCTTTACTAGGATCTATCTTTCTGGGGAAGTGCCTGCAAAATAGCTGTTTCATTTGCAGCAGTGCTGTAATAGGGACTCTTACTTTTTCTTTTTTTTTAAAATCCTTACCTGAGGAGATTTTTCCATCTATTTTCATACAGAGTTGGGCGGGGGGAGGAACATTGATGCGAGAGAGACACGTCATTGGTTACCTCCTGCATGACCCTGGCCAGCGCTGGGGACCAAATTGCAACCGAGGTACATGCCCTTGACTGGAATTGAACCCGTGACTCTTTGGTCCACAGGCCGACACTGTAACCACTGAGCAGAACCAGCCAGGGCTCTTACTTTTCCTTATAAGCAGTCTTCTCTAGATTGATATTTTCAACTAGATAGGCGTCCTGATTTACAGAAAATTTTAGTGTTCTTTTCTTTCTTTTTTTTTAAAAAAATTCTCCCACATTTTCCCACATTTTGTTCAGATAGAGTGGGAGGGAGAGAGAGGAAGAGAGAGAGAGAGAAACATTGACACGAAAGGGACACATCGAGTGGCCGCCTCCCGCATGACCCAACCAGGGCCTGGGACAAATTGCAGCTGAGGCCTGTGCCCTTAGTGGGAACCGAACCCAGGTCTCTCTAACCGCTGAGCCAAACCGGCCAGGGCTAGTGTGCTTTTCTGTTTCTATTTCCCCCTTTTCCATGATCTGATTCCTTGTGTCTGACAGCAGATTTCCTGTCATTTTGTAAAACAAAGGTCAATTAAGCAAGCATCCAACATTTACTAATATATAGTTCATTAATGTTATTTTAGTTATAATAGGGCTTCTTTTTTAAAAAGGCAAGGGCACAAATTTATTTCTTTTAGTGGAGGGTTCTTTACTCAGCACAGCATTCATATTAAAAAGTATGAATCCAAAGGAAAAATCTGTGTGGTCAGTTTTACTGGAATGTGAGTCTCACCTAGAGATCTTTTCTTCCTGAAGATCACACATTCCCATCGTGTGGTCTTTGATAGTAAGTCATTTATGAGTGCTTACTGAATTAAAACAGCTTTACCCATAAATAGGTAAAGACTTGAAATACTCAAAAGAGCCTTTTATTCCCTGATATGACCCTGTATATTAAAGCAAAGAGGTGTAGAGAAAAATTGCTACTATGAAAGCAGCTGGTGGAAAAATTACATTGAAACTAGTTTAATTTCTCTTCCCTGGAGGTACATCTGAGAGCTACAGTTGGAAACCTGGCAGTTATTCAGAATAACTGCTGAAAGGTGTGCACACATAGAGTGGTCATTAGGTTTCTGGAATAAGGAACTGTAAGACAATTAATTTTCAGTACAGAAGAAAGCATGTATGGATTCTGTGTTATATACTCTCTCAACGCTTGTGTTCTCTGTTGTGTTACCACAATTTTATTAAGCAGTTAAATAATTAGTGTTTGCCTTCTCTTTTAGTATATGAACTCTGGGAGGGCAGGGCCTATAGCTGTGTCATTCAACATGATCAAGGTCTAGCACATGAACAGAGTAGGCTCTCAACATAGTTATTGAAGGAATGAAAGTGTAAAAGAATATAAACCATTTTAGAAGTATGGTAAAAGGGAGCTGTGCTTCTCATGAATACTGGAAGGATACTTTTCTGTTTTTTTTTTTTAACTGACGTTGTTTATTGTGTTTTTAGAGAGAGAGGAAGGGAGGGGGGAGAGAGAGAGAAACGTCGATGTGAGAGTGAAACATCGATTGGCTGCCTCCTGAGCCTGCAACCCAGGCATGTGCCCTGAGTGGGAAC